TTCCTTTATTTGCATTATAAACATATTTTCTTAATTGTTAGTGGACAAATATTAATTGTAAGTAATACATTTTTTAACATTATATGACTTTTAATACTTACGAAATTAATATTTTTACTTATTTTTTCTGCTTAAATTATAATTGTATCGTAAACCAAGAAAATATGATCAACATATCGGACAAAAAAATTGCACATATATAAAAATTGGCAATTTTACTATAAAACCGAGACATACATACATTTCTGCTACTTTATGTTTTAAAACTGATCCCATCGATATTCTATGTTTGTCTATAAAATGTACTTAGAACACTAAAAAAAATTATTTATAAAAGTAAATTTGATTATAAGTTTTATATATTTAGGAACTTCATATCTGTTTAATGCTTCCTTAATCATATTATATTTAATTGAAAGATACATTAATTTAATATATAAAGTCATCATTTGATAAGATGGGTGTACCTTTTTCTTTAATAACCTGTTAACTAATATGTCCGTATTTTTGATGCTATAATCCGATACTGGTACTGTATATCTAAAACAGGGGTGTCCAACCTTTTTGTTTCTCTGGGCCGCATTGGAAGAAGTCAAGGAGTTTTGGGCCACAAGTATATATAATAATACTTATGGCCCAATATACAAGTATATTTAAAAATTAACATATCTAGATTATAGTAATAAGGATTAAAAAAGAAAAAAAGGATATTTTAAAAAATTACTTCTACAGACTCTTTCAATTTTTATTTAGAAATAGATAAATTCATTTATTATAAAAGAGACTAAAGAAAATTTATTTGAAAAACACAAATATTTGTTTTATTTGGGTCTCTAATTAATAAAAAGCGACGAAACACCATTTTAAAGTGCATTTTTATTCAATTAATATAATTATAAATAATATGTAGCCGAAAAAGTAGCCAAAGCGCCAAATGATATTTTTTACGTCAAGCAAAAAAAAGTAGCCACATTTGGCGCAATGTAGCCAAATCTTGCAACGTTGGAAGAAATACTAAATAAAGCTGGAGTTGTGAATCAAAGGATTATAGACCCAAGTGCGGGGAAAAAGAGGCAAAGGACAAAAGATAAAGAAGTGAAAAAGGTTGAAAAATTACGGGTTCATATTTGATTAACAGAAGTTCTATTTAACGTTTCTCACTACTACATCTTTTGTCCTTTCTCATCTTTCCCTCCTTTTCCCAAATTTGGGTCTATAATCCTTTGAGTCATAACTCCAGCTTTATTTAGTAATCCTTCCGCATTCACACATCTCCAAGTATTTGAAAATATTTTCTTTCCACTCAAAACTAAAATATGAATAAAGGTTAGCGGCTTTGTAAAACTTCTTTCTTGAGTTTATACCGTTGAAATAAATAAATAATAAAAAAATTAAAACATTTGTCGGTTTTGTTTACACGTTTATTGGGCCGCATTGGAACTTGCCTTGGGCCGCATGCGGCCCGCGGGCCGCGGGTTGGACACCCCTGCTTTAGATGGTACTATTTCTAATTGTTTATTTTCTACTCCATTACTGTCTATGATAATAAGTTGATCTGACCTATATGCTTTATCAATTGATAATTTATGTTTATGAAAATATTTTTTAATCTTTTATATTTACATGTTAATGATAGTGATAGATGATCTATAATTTTAACCTCATCTTTATTTATCTTTATATGTTTTCGTAAATCTTCTCATATTTTATTCCTTAACTTCTGTTTTCCTTTCTTTTCCTTCTGTATTAAACTTTAATTGTAAAATGGCACATACGATATCTTTAATTAATTTTTCTACTGCACTATAAATTGGTAAATTCAATTTGGATCCATATGTCAACAATCTGTGAAAATCTTTTGATATAAGTTTCTACGACATGTTAATCATTATCTGTTCCTTCAAATTCTCTTTTTTAAGGGGTAGGATAATTATATACAGTAATTAATTTTATATCTTCACCTTTTTATAATTATTATTCTTATTACTGCTGTTATTATTATTATTCTGAATATCATTATTATTACAGTTCATATTTTTCTTTCTTATATTATTATTCTCTTTAATTCTTTTTAAATTTCTTGTGATATGAAATATTTTTTTGCCTTTACTTTTTAAAGCAGATTTAATAATCAATCTTACAACTGTGCAGATATCTTATTTTTGAATAAAGTAGGTCAGTGATTTTCAACCTGTGAGTCGCGTCCCCCTTGGGGTCGCGGGTAAAAGAAAAAGACAAGTGTTTGTAGGTCCTACACTACAATTAAAAAAAACTACAATTTCAGTGAGATGGCTGTACCTGTTTATTTTACAGTACAATTGGTTTTTCGATCGATATTTAGGTCTCAACAGAAAGAAAATTAAATACGTAGTTTTTAAAATAACTGATACAGATTTATTATGGCCCTGGGGAGGTCGCCAGAATTTTTTAACTTTTAAAGGGGTCGCGTATTCAAAAAGGTTGAAAAACACTGCACTAGGTGATAGATTTAAGTAATTGAAAAGTTTTTGGTGTCACTTCCTCTCATAGGTAACATTTAAAATAGAAAAATATCACACTTAAGAAAACTTCTTAAGTTGCTGTAAATGTCTAACCTTCACCTCATTTCCCAATTTTTCTGGTATTTTAATATATTTTTTAAATTAAAATTTCCGGCACCATTGAATATATTATAAATTTTTTATGTTTGATTTTTTATATTCCTATTATTAACTGAAATTTTTTAAAACTATTGTCATAAAAATGTAATTTTCAATTATAGATATATTGATATAAAAATTTAAGAAGTTGATTATAAAAGTAATTTGTTATTTTCATGTAATGAATAATAATAACCTATTTGCATTTTTATAATTATTTAATGATTAAAGAAGTTTCGTAAAATCATCTATTGATAAGATAATTAAAGTTAATGACCATTAATCACCATGTGCAGAACGTTTTTGGATCAAACAATTTTCCAATGAAATTATATTTTAGTAAGTACATAATTTATGGAGAAATTAGATTGATTCATGTATGAAATTCTTTCCAAGAATTAATTAGAAGCAACGTTGATAGAAATAGTGAATTATAATTACAGATGATAAATGAGCAATTGATTTTGAATTATTCTTTAATTAAAGTTATTGATAAATCATTAATAGTTAACCTTGTGCTATGAAATCAAAATTTAAAAATTTAAGAATGTTCTAATTGTTAAAATTTTATCTAAGATGATTTAAATTATACTGCATTTTTTTAAAGATCTTTCAAAACTTTTATTTTTTTAAGAAGATATAAATCTAATAGAACAGTATTTAAATTTATTTGTAATATTTAGATAAATTAGTATTTATTAAATATAAATAGTAATTTATGTTATTTTAAGGATATTTTCAAATAGTTCAGAATGTTTTAAGTATGGTATAAATTAATTATAGTAAGTTTCTTAATTGGACAAGGCCCATACACAAAAAGAAGGCTTTCCAACTCTATAAATCACCAATATTGTCAGGTAAAAAGTATAAGTATAGCCGCAGGAGGACCTATGCAAAGAAAATGGTCTACCAGTGGCCATATAAATAAAACCACTAAACACTGGTAGATTTAGATTTAGATTTAGAACGTGGAGTTTTTTCGGTTTTATTCACGTTTGTAACAGTTAAATAGGAGCCAGTTTCCCATAAAACACTTCCCAAGATGCATTCCCCATCGGCAGATCGCTCAGTTGTCGCGTTGACGTAAACGAATAAAACCTATAAAAACCTAGGCAAAATTTATTTTTTAGTCTTTAAAAGATTGATAGCGGTAAAGGGTAGATTTAATGAGATCTGCAATAATATGAGCATTTTTAATAAAAAAAATGAGGTAATAAAATAGCAATAAAGTAATAAAAGTTTACAGTTTTACAATGAATAAAAAATTTCAATATTAATAGAAATTTGACTACAAAACTGCTCTCCTTCCTGCTTTTATTAGCACCGAATTAATTAATTACAGAAAAGAATTCAGAAGCAATATTTCTTTCAATGGACAAGATCGAAAGTGAAGAAAGTCTTTCTTGACACATTGTTGTTTGAAGTAGTTCTTGATCAGTTTTAAATTTATAAATGATCGTTCTGCTAATGCAACTGATATCGGTTCAATTATATTTTCAATAATTACCAATATGATGATATAAATAGTATTAGCATTTAGTTCCTGAAATTGCGCGGCCTTAGGCGTAACCTTTTTCATCTATGTGTAAGGCCGCTTCTGTAGATCGATTGATAGGTCAGCTCTTTTGATTTGAAACTTGTCTTCTATTCTAATTTTTAAACTCTCGTTTTCTAATTCCCTAAACATAAGATTATTTTAGGAGTTTTGTTGAAATAATTGATATTATAATGAACAATAGTACAGATTTTAATTTCCCCCCCCACTTTTGGCTCTTTCAGATCTGTAGACACTAAATGGGGTTTTTATTATACTTATTTTGGGTTCGATTATGCATACTATGACTGTACGATACGGGACGGGCACAACGTATTAGGACAATTGGTAAAATTGCGTGTATTAAATAGAATAAATTCAATTCTTGCAACACCGATTAATTACAGAACTATGCGGCTGAACCTACATTAGTTAAAAGTGATTCGATCTCGCATATAAATTTTTTATGCTTAATTAATTTCCGTTTGATACTATTGCATACCTGAAATGATGCATCATATAACCAGTACGCTGTAATCTTGCCCTATGGTGCTTGCCTTACAATCTCCCGATGCTTGGCTTACAATCTCCCGATGCTTCATTGCACAATACCCTACGGCGCATTACTTTTGATTTCTGTATCACGGATGATCATAATTAAAATATCTCCAACATGGCTAAAGAGATATTTAGCAGTCCAAATACAATTAATTTATTAATGTGACTTTTCAGGACGTGCAGAAGAAAAAGAAAATTAGTACCAAAACTCATCATTATGATACGTTTGGCTTTGCAAGCAACAAATATTTTATTTGTACAAGTCACTCATGTCATACAGAGACTGTGATATGGGGATACTCAATGTGATGCTCAACGTGGTCAATATACTGAACATAAAACCTGAAGACAATGAACAACAGGTGACGGTAAGAGATCCTCTATGATGCTTTTCACATGACTGAGACGCTGTTTTTCATTGCTACGAAATTTTCCACTTGATTCGATAATCCAAAATTTTGAAGTGTGCTCAAAACCAAAAATCACACATATTAAGTGGTGAGGTTTAGTGGTGAGGTTTGGTACTAAATTTTTTTGGAAATAAGTTCCTTATGTCCTGAAATGTCATTGTACAAAATTTGGTTACATTTGGTATGCCAGCGCATATTCTAACGTGCAACTAACACAAAATATGTAATGGGAATTTTGAATTGAGCAGTGGGAATCCCATATTTGTGTAGTAATTAATTTTCTGATTCTGGGTTTTGTAAGTATTTCTTTCTTCTGGTTACGTTAAAGTTAAAATAATTACCTAAATACACAGTGTACGATAAAACCTGTCCAAAACGGTTCCCGAATAAAAAGAAAACCAACTTAAACGGAAAAATTCCGCGAAACGGAGCAATTTTCTACGCTAAAAAAACCTGTTCAAAACGGAAACTTGTCAAACTGGAAAAATATTTGGTACTGTGAGATTCGAAATTTTATTAATTAATTAGCGTGAGAAATATATCTAGTTTTTCAAAGTTGTTTACAAAAAAAGGAAAACACAGTGTCACTTTTTACGGAAAGAAGGAAAATCAACTTCCCTTTCCAAGAGGTCATTCCTTATCATAATCAAACCATCTGGTTATCCACCCCTCTGCACGTCCCCGCACATCCTGTTAGCAACCGTAAATATTTTAACGCTATTGGTCAGAAATTACGATAAAAAGGACGATTTTACTGCCATTTGAGGCGATCATCCAAAGAATAGATTGCCATATGAGACGCATTTGACATAAGTCCGAATTTGCCATATAGACTACAGGCAGTCAACAGAAATATGACATTGCCAAAAGAGAAGCCAGTCAACAATCCCAAAAAACCTACCATAAGAATAGAGTTCTCTGCAAATTCTCACTTGTGCATTTCCCTCATCCATCCTATTCACCGAAGAAACTTTATCGCTAAAGAGAAGACTGCTTTTTACACCTTCAGTCAAGGTAGTAAGTTGAAATTGATGTAAGCTCTCTCTCTCTCTCTCGATTTAGCGTTTAACTCTATTTAGACTCGATTACGTTCATTTATATTTATATTTTGAATTATGTATCTCGTTAATTTAGTTTACAGTAAAGCGTCGATTATCTGAATCAATTGGGGACTGGAGTTGTTGTGAAGATCGATGTTTCGGATAACCGATTATGTACGAAAAAATATATTAATTTATCCCATCTCTCCATTTTTCTCCGTTGCGTGTCGCTTCGCGTTGAATTTTCGTCAATGTTAAGTCTAACGAAGACTATTGTATCGTTAAAAATTATTTTTTTATTTTGTACAAACAAAATAAATATATTGAAAAATATAAAAACAATAAAAAATTATACTTCTGAAGTTAATTTAGTATCAAAAACGTAAAATATTTGAGTAGCCCAAGACATAGCCAAAGATTGCAGCGCCACAGCGCTGGCGAAAATTTAAATTTGCCGACTGGAATTCTTTCGGATAATTGACTTTTGGATAATCGACGCTATACTGTATTTAGTAAAACTTTCTTTATTAGTTACAATTTGGTGACTCTCTCAATTAATTGACTCCAGACATTCACCCCACTACGTTCGAACTTACTGGTGACTCCTCTCCACTTATCAATGAGGAAGCCCTCTTTTTAATTCGGTAATTTCATAGCGTGATAGGGCGCGAAATTTCCCTATCTGGTGTCAGTCCGGTCGAACGAGTCGGAAGATTCGGGCAACATATCTATTTTTTTTTCTATCCTTAGACGAGGTTGAGCGGGCCTCAACGTCCCGACGATTAGAAGATACAATACCTCCGAGCGTGATCTCACAGTACCGAGATTCCGGTTTACAGAAGTTTTACTGTACCATTAAAAGTGCTCAACAAATAAACACATAAATAAAACACCTTAATTTATTGCTGAGAAATATGCATATTTGCAAAACAAAGCCTGTTTTGCAAACGATATTAAATATTAAAACGATAGCCTGTTAATCGGGCTATCGTTTTAAGCTCGATTAACAGGTCATCATCAGGTCAAAAAACGAAAATGGAACGGATACGTTCCATGTATAGAATACAAATATTTGAATCAAAATTTAGAACAAAAAAAAAGACCGAATGTGAGATTGTTGATGACAGGATAATTGGGTCTTTGGACAGAAGGGCCAAGAAGTTAGAACGCTCAAGTCTGGCTGCCGTTTTACCATTTCTGAAGAAATGTCATAATGCAAGTTCAGGACCTCCACGATTGTTTGCATTTGTTAAAACGCACAAAACTGGAAATGAATCAAGACCAGTGGTAGAGAAGTGTAGGGGCCCACCTTTATCTTAGAAAAAATATTACATGAATATTTATTCTCACAAGTTGAAGATGATAAGCTGGTGGCAAAAGATCCTCTTGTTGTAGTCAAGGAAGTACAAAATATTTCTTTAATGGAAGATGGAGTGGCGACCGTTTTAGATTATGAAAGCATGTATCCTTCAGTAATGATTGAATCTTGTGTGGAGGCATTATTGGATTTCATGTACAACAACAACAACCTTCAGTTGCTTAGTTACACCCAAGACCTAGAAGAAATAGCTAGCCTTGTATGCTATCAATCTTGTTTTACTTTTTGTGGTCGAATATACAGGCAAAAAAGAGGGGTTCCGATGGAAAGTCCCCTCTCTGGAATTCTTTGCGAGTTAGTAGTTAGAAGATTAGAAAGAGGAGTTCTACACAATTTTAAAGAAGATATCATACATTTCTGTAGATATGTGGATGACATTTTTATCTTATGGAGAAATAATAGTAGGATACATGAATTTTTTAATAGAATCAATGATAACAAGGATGGTCTTAAGTTAAAATTAGAACAAAAAAGTTCCTTGATTGCGCCCTTCTTGGACATTAATATCAGGTTCATGGCAGATTATTTGTCCACCAGCGTGTATATTAAACCTATTCACACCCCACTATAAATACCTGTACGATCCATGGATACATATCGATATAAAATTGCCGCATTTCAAACTTTAATAAGAAGAGCTTATTTATATTGTGATAGAATCGATGACAGGAATAAAAAAATTGATAGAATATTGCAAGTAGCCCAGACCCTGGGTTACAAGAAAAGCACTATTGTAGGATTACTCAAGAAGTATGAAAGGAAAAAGGAGAGAAAAGACTTAAATACCGCTCCCAATAGGCGCTTGAAGTTTACATATAATAGTAATTTAAATAGTAGGGGAAGGTGGTGCAAGATGGGGCAAGATAGGGCCATAGGGTAAGACGGGGACATCTGTTTATTCGTGGTTAACGCGCTTTCATCTAGCTGTTATTTGGGAACTAAATGTCAACCTCAAAAGGGATCACGGGACGAGAGAATGTCCGAATCGCTCTTTTTGTTTGTAAGTAAGGCAGTTTTCCATGTTTCAGCTAAACTTCATCTAATTTTATGCCTGCTACAAAGTTTCTACAAAGTAAGCATCATTCTGAACTTTTACATTACCTCTTAGATAAAGATATTATGGTATTCGAAGTAACCTTTAAGACCAAAATTGTTTAGTTTTGAAATAAAGTTGACCCGTGTTTGCAGTCAGTATGAAAAGTGCACATTGGGGTAAGATGATGGGGGCAAGACGGGGTATCCCATCTTGCTCCTACCATCTTGGCCATGAATTCTGCTAACCTACCAAGGTGGCCATGAATTCTGCTGCTGCTAGAGGCATTGCAATATAGTGCAGCGAACTAGTTTTAAATTCGTTGTCATTGATAATTCTATATCACCTATTTGAATATATAAAATAATAATTTTAAAAATGATCTTTTTATATAAAATGAAATATTCCACTTTTAAGTCATATATAACTGTAATAAATTTATACAGTTTATACTGTATTACCTTATTATTTATGTTTTTACGTTTTATTTTATTTATGAAAACGTTTTTTAATTTAAATACTATCTTAACAAGAAATGAAATGTGAGATAACAATCAAAACAATAATTTTTTCCACGAAAAAAATATCGTCTGCTTACAAAACAAAGCGAAACTGAGCATACGCGAAGTGACAGTATCATCTGGTAAAATAAATATGAGTAAGTTCAAACTTTTATATTTATTTATTCGGAAAATAATAATAAATGTAGCCGTTGTGATAAATGGGCACATTGGTCTTGTGCCAATATTGAAGAAAACGACAGTTTAACCATTTTAATTTGTCCTTCTTGTATATAAAAATAATATTCCTATCTTACCCCATGGATGGGGGCAAGATGGTGCATATTATGCAATAAATAGAATATAATTTTAAAAAATTAAATTTTCTTGTTTTTAAAAACGTTTTTCAAAAATTAAATTTTGTATTATATATTACCAAATGTTGTAGTTGCTGAGAATAAAAAAATTATTGTTCTCATTAAAGTTGTTGCCATCTTATGACTTTTCAAACCTTAACGTCCTCATCCTACCCTACCTTCCCCTATTATGAAAGAAGTTGCTAATCGGAAACAAGCAAGAATGGCTTTAAAAAGAGCCCCAAATTTATATAAGATATTGAGGAATGATAAAGATAGAATGAAAACAGAAAAAAAACCAGGTGTCTATAAAGTTCCTTATGAGAACATCAAACTAGATGTTAAGAAACACTATATCGGCGTCACCAACAGGAGGTTGGGAGTAAAACTAAAAGAGTTTAGATATAACGTGGAAAAAGGATCCAATGCTATAATTTTGTCTCAAATGTCGCAAGTCCAAGGTTCGGTGGTGAAATGGGACGAGGCAACAATTATAAAACCTGTATCTTCCCCGACTTTATCAATGAGGGCGGAGAAGATTGAAATACATAGAAGTAGGCTACGTAAAGGATGTTTAAATGCGAGAGATACTGAGAGCCTGAGGTCAGCGTGGAAGTACATGATTAGAAAGTTTACTAAAATGTCGGGCTAGAATTAGTTTATTGGAAGATTTATCATATTTATTTTTTATTTTATTTTGTGATAATTTTATATGTTCTTCAGTTTCTCTTGTATATTTAAAAAAAATTTTTTTGTTCTAAATTTTGATTTAAATATTTGTATTCTATACAAGGAACGTATCTGTTCCATTTTCGTTTTTTGACCCGATGATGGCCTGTTAATCGGGCTTAAAACGTTTGTTTTGCAATTATATATATTTCTCAGCAACAAATTAAGGTGTTTTATTTATATGTTTTACTGTACAGTTTATTCGGCCCACAAAAAAAAAAAAAAAAACAAAAGCTATGAAGGAAATGTTGGAAGGATTTACCATTTGTATCGAATATATACAATACATACTTTTTACGTAGCCACAACTTCAATATCATCACTTAAACTATATTCCACAACCACAGCGAACTCGTAAATTATATCACATTCTAACGCTCATGTCTAACGATTAAGATTGAACGGTGATTGAAATTAATAAATTATAATACAGATATAAGTTTTGTGTCATTGGCCTTATTTTTCATTTATGTCTTCTAGAACATATTATTAACGCTAACATTTGTCGGCTTGAACAAAACAAAAAACTGATATTTGTGCAGTAGGAAAAAACCTTAGAATAAGGCCTTATTTGAACTGCTAAGTATCTTTCTAGGAAGCGTTGAATAGCACTACTTTGCTATCACTCGGTATATATCAGTGTTTCTCAACAGGGGCGATATAGTGGGCGTTTTTCCATGTTGAGGGGGCGATTAGTTACAATTTATATTTTGGGGGGCAAAAAACAATTTTCTGGGAGATATAGTAAAACATTATATTAAGAATAATTAGATATTTTATTCGTTATATCGTACAATAATTAAACACATAACATTATACTAGTCACTAGTCTATTCAATGCAGTACGAATTTGGCGTTAGCCTTGTCCTTCAGCATCAGAATTTTGTAGTGAAGGAGGCGATACTACCTAACGGTTTTATTGAATGGGGCGACGATTCGTTAGAGGTTGAGAAACACTGGTTTACATACATATAAAAATCTCTGTATAATGTGTATATACAGTTGGATCTTGCTTTACATGAGAAAGGATATACACACATTTCTTTTCGCAGATGGCGAATAGTTATACAGTATAATAATTATAAATTAAACTAATTTTTTAATTAAACTGTATGAATTACTAATAGTGAGATATATTAATTTGTGTCAATGTTGACAAATTATTTAATAATTTTTAAGAAATATGAATAATTTTTTCCAATATTTTAAAATTTTTGTGCAGTATATTTATATATAATATTTTATGAAAATTATAAAAAATAACTCTTAAAATATTGTTTGTCGATCTTTAATGGACTGTAAAAATATGAAAGTACTGCGGTTTTGCAAAAAATAACGTTTAATGCGGAATGAAACACTGATACAAAATGGCCGCTACAAATGACCGTTACAAAACTACTCTCGTTTCCAATTTTTTAAATTAAACTTTTTTTTCTTTTTTATTTTACAAAAATATGGTGGCGCTTGAGGCGGTAACAAATATTAAGGAAGTTATAAAATTTCATTAAAAAATGAAATTTTATAATTTTAATAATAAAAAAAAAGAGGTAAAAGCTATCATAATAAAATTTGTCATATATTGCACGTCGAGAAAAGCCAGAAATGAGAAACAAATATGAAAGGATAAATTATTTTTCTAAATAAATACCATATATATAATTTTACTTGTATTTTTTATTGTAGTCTTTTAAGTTATATTTTAGATTCTGAAGCTATCTTGTTATTTTAGAAACTGCCGTTATAGAAACTATTTAGCATTTGATATTGTACAATAATATCAATTAAATAATTAATTAATATTATTAATTATAATATTTTAACCTATTTTTACAGAAAATGAGAAAAAAATAATGTAAACTGTATTTTTTCAATGGCAGACTTCTCAGAAGAGAGTTTGCTATTTGAAACCAATGTTTTTATGTTTCCATAAGATATAATTACGAAGAAAAAAATACTTACCACTAGTGAAATAATGAAGAGTATTATCAAATAACAAAAATTTAATTGACAAAGATTTTTGATAAATCTCGGAGTTATCGCCATTCTTTCTCGGCTGAAGTTTTTCATATAATTATAATATAAATTTATAAATAATGCTTAAAACAGTCTAAAAGTTTCATTTTGAAATCTCGATAAACATTCAAGCTACTTCGAAAAAAACGATTTTGAATATGCATAATTAAAAAAAAAGCTCAAACGATTTGTTGATCAGGCCTATTAGCATTTTAAAATGCCTTCCGTGCTGTTACAAATGGTTACAAAACGCTTAACAAACCTGACACTTAACAAATAGACTAATAAAAGACACAAATTATATATTTCTCTTTTTTTCTTTGTTTTAATTTACAGTATAAGCTACATTAACAATATTTAAGATATGATTCGATATATATATTAAACATGCCACCTATTTTACTAAATACTTTAAGTTAAAAAACGCAATAACGCTATTTAATCTTGTAACAGAAAAGGTGATGAATTATTTACTACTGATTTTCTTTCACATCTATGTAAAAAATGACAAATATTTTAAAACGAATAGAATTCTATAGTATTATAAAACAACTCTATATTTAAGATCAAAACTAAAAAATTATTTAATGGAGTTTAAATTAATAGTACGAGTATTAGTAGTACTATTTAATTTACATTAATTACAGGAGCCATTCTTTAGATACTTCAGAAATTTAAAAATGGATCACTGTTTCCGTGGTAACTATAAATAATTCATCTTAAAAAACAAATCTCGTAGTGTGTAAATATTTATGCAATAAAATGAAAATTAAATATTTAACGTAACTTTATTTGAATAACGATTTTGATAATTGTTTTTAGACATGATTGTAAAGCTTCCGAGTTTCTACTGTTTATTATTTTATCACTCAAACTACTATCATGCATCTCTACAGCCTCATGTGTGAAATAGTACGTGTAGCCTATGAAGTTTATTCTA